CCCCAAAACCCCAAAACCCCAAAACCCCAAAACCCCAAAACCCCAAAACCCCAGATTTATGCAGAAAAACTGAGGATTTAAATAAAATTTTAATCAACGAATATGAATCATTCACAAGTGGTAAGTTTAGCTGTCCTATTTTTTATCAATTTTGAGACTTTGGAGAAGTTTTATTAACAAATTTCATCTCTAAATAAATTTCTAGACTGTGATGAATGTAGAAGCACCAGTGGTTCGATCTATCTCACATAGTCCAGTTAGAAATAATGAGATATTACAAGAAATCGCAGAGAGAAGGCATGAGCTTTCTAAACAGCAATGTGAACAGCATCACCACATCTCAAGTCTTAAATACAAGCTAGACAAGGAAGCCAAAGAGGCTTTACATGCTACAAATGCTGAAAAATATCATTTAGACTATGAAATCAGAAATCTAGAAGAAAGAATAGCTGCTAAAGCCCGTCTTACATGTGGAGAAGAGGAAAGAATGATAACTCGTAGGAAATGATACGATCAAGAAATTATCGCATTGAACAGAAATCTGGAGCACAACGAAGACCTTATACAAGCTTGTAAAGAGAAAATGACCTGTGAGCTCAAAACCAGGGAAATTGATTTCCATAAAGCCATGAATGTTATTAGGGATGACTATGGTAGCCGCCTAGCTGATATGAAAGCAAACCATGCACGGATGGTTGACCATGAAAGAAATGAAATCGCCAAAAGAGAAGAGGAGCTTGACTGTACTACTTTATATTTAATCTTTAGTATTAACCCATAAAATCATTCCAGAGGAACAGAGAAGAGGGGAAGAAAGCCTAGCTTTCATTCGTAGTAAGACTTCACAACTCAGGGCTGAACTTCAAAGGCTTAATGATCTCTTCAAGATCTCTGTTGATAAAACAAAAAGACAGAATGACAAAAACCAGAAAATTTACGATCAAAATGCTGAAATGAACAAATTGAAGATAAAAATACAAAAGAAAATGATCAACACGAAGAAGCAGAGCGAGACCTTCAAAGATGTCATCAACAAGCTCGAGAAGTTTGGTTATGGTTACCAAAAGACTTTTAAGAGAAAGACCCAAGGAAACCTGAAAAGACAAGTGACCACTAAAAAGGGCAAAAAGAGATCTAGATCTTTAATCAGAGCCAAGGAAAATATTGGAATTGATTATGCGATTGAAGACCATAGAAGACATAGGGATTCCTCCACTAATGCTGAATCCTCTCCCAAAAGAGGTAGAAGAACGGCAATAAAGAGATACAGGTCTTATACAAGAAGTCTGAATAGAGGGAAAGGCTCAGGCCTAGGAGTTGGTAGTACTCATAAAGTATTCAAGACAAAGGCAAATAATTTTAATGAAGTGCTTATTAGAGCACGAGACTTAACTGGAGAAAATAGACACAAGCCAAAAAAGAAGTTAAAAAGGAGAAATTAAATTTTATTCTCAAGTTTCAACCACTTTAGCACAATTTGGGGTTTTGGGGTTTTGGGGTTTTGGGGTTTTGGGGTTTTGGGGTTTTGGGG